AAAAAAAAAAGGGAGGAGAGAGAGAGAGGAGGTGTTGCTGGACCTATTTATAAGAACTCCCCCACCCCCACCCAACAAAAGGAAAAAAAATACTTTAACAAACTGCTTTAAGACATGACTTTACTATTTTGTTTTTGGAGAATATTTAGTTAATTTATTTGAAAAATATTTTTAAACAATAATTAGTGTTTGACCAAGCTTTTAAAAATTACTTTTAAGATTATTTTTTTCAAAAGTGCTTTTAAAAAATGTACTTTTGAAGAAAATCAATTTTTTTCTGCTTCTCCAAAACTATTTCCGCTTCTACTCAAAAAAAAAATTTTGCCGTTTAAAAGTTTGATCAAACACTTTAACTTAAAAAAAAAGTATTTTTGACTTGAAAAAGTTTGGCCAAACATGCTATTAGTTTCTTAGCTAGTCTACATGCAAAGGAGAGGAGTATGTAATTAATGTAAGAAGAGAAAGGAGCTTAGGTTAAGGGGTTAATTACTACTTCTTCAGCGAAAGAATTACCCATTTCAGCAAAAGTTTGCTATTGTCTCAATTCTGCTCCAAGAAAAGCGCCAAAAAAAAAAAATCAGATGGGAGAAAGAGGAAGAAGCAACGAAAGAGAAGCTGAGATCTTAAACAGTCAAATAGTTGAAAAACAATTTGATCATTCATAAGCTCATTAACAAGAGTTATATATGTGCGAATTTGTCTTCCGTTAGTAGTTTAGTACGATGAGTCCACAGCATAACGAAACTAAATTAAAATTGTTAAGAATTGAAGCCGGCATCCTGGAACTTTACTTTCTCCAAAAAATTTAATTGTGTAATTTTCTAAATCTCTCAGCTGTTCCAACAAACCCTTTTAATATCACATTGCTTTGTACGTGGAACCTCGGATTTACAAAAATATAGAATTGACCGCTTTGTTCACTTTTCGTGCTTGGAATTATTTGCACAAAAAGTATAACTTTCGATTTACACTATTATATTTATGTAATGAAAGGTTAAACCTAGTTAATGATAATATCTTTAGATGCGACTTTAAAATATGTAGATGATGTAGAACTGATCTATTGAGAGACTAACAATAACATACATTAAATATCTAAAAGGTATGAGCAATAATGGAGGAGTATCTAGCAATAAATGACAATAAATGACATTTGAGTAAATAGGAGAAGTGGTTCACCCAATGATGAATGAACTAGATGATTGTTCTTCCTGATAATGATGAGTGACAGATAAATCCTAGAATGTTCGCACTATTCTCGGATCTGATGGAAAAGTGTGAAATAATATGAACAACAATCTTGATGAAAATGTAATATTTGTATCTTTTACCGGAGAGAGAATCTTTATCAGAAGTCTATTCTTATCGAATCAAAACCACATGCCCCTTTTCCCTATCTTTTTCCTCTTTATATGAGATACATCACTAATAAACCCTAATAGTACATGTGCCTAGAATATTCTTTAGAATATTTTTTCTATTATACTATTCTAAAAACTAGTCGTTACAACCCTTTTCACGGTGCTCGACCTCGGTCATTATTGACATCCCGATCACGAGCTTCGTCGTTTCCTGATCGAATCTTCCCTTGATACTACCTCGCCCTAAATGCTCGACAGTAGATTTCGACCTGTATAGTTAGTCCCTCCGCTTATTGAGGCCGTCCTCGTACGACCTCGATGAGCGAATTTTGCTGGTTATGGTCGAGAAGAGTAGGCGAGTGGGTCGGGTAGTTAAGTTTGGGACGAGCTGGCAACGTGGCTTTTTGTGAGCCGCAACTTTCGGGGTTATGTCGTTTCTGCACTAGAGTGACATCATGACATCATACGTCACTGTGGCGCATTTTCCCGATGCTTTGTGTCATTTCCCATGTGACTGCCAGTTGAGGCTGTCATTTCGATTCCAGTGCTGGGTAATGATGGCATTATCTCTTGGTTTTGGTGCTCGAATTCTTATAAATAGAGATGTGATGACATTCATTTGTTTTTTTTATGTATTTTTATCAACAAAACCTTGTGCCTTGTTCTCCTTCCTCCATTGTTGTGTATCTTCTTTCCTAGTCTTAGTGATTCATGTTGCTTCTAATTCTTCTTTTCCTGAATATCCTTTCTCTCATCGAAGTTATGGCTAATGTATCCTCTGGTTCTGGTGTGGGAACTGACCCTGTCCTTTGGCGATGCTTATACCTCCTCACGTTGATGGCGTCTCTGTCTCCATGGACGATGAGAACTTTCCTATGGTGGAGAAAATAATTTCACGCGACAAGAAAGTTAGGTCTGACTTCTCAAATGCGCCTGAAGACGAGCTCGAGGTCTCTGAGTCGGCGATGAAAGAGGCTGATCAAGCGAAGCTTAGGGGAAAATTCGATGTTCCCGCCCGTATCGATTTGGTCCTAGCAGGGCATGATGTGGTACAAATCCACCTCTCCGGGTATTGCATGTTCTATGCATATCCTTTCCATGTAGGCTACGTTCTTCCCCTTCTCCCATTGGCGGAGGAGTTCTGTCACTACTATGGCGTGTGCCCAGCTCAACTTGCCCGATATATCTACAAGCTCATCAGGATGCTTACTAAATTTGCGGAGTTGGATGAGATTGAGATCACACTCCGATATCTGATGCATCTCTTCGCCCCTAGTTTCTATATAGGGACAATGCTGAACCTTCACCATCGAGGAGGCAAATGCCTGGTGGTGAAGATGGATGACAAGGCAAGTCGTCAGTTCTGGCATAATTTTTTCTTTATCAGAACCGAAAACGTGGTGGCCAACGCGGACGGCTTCCCCGAGAATTGAAAATACACTCGTAAGTGTCTATTCTTCTTTTGTTAAAATGTTTGATCTGTCTATTTTAGTCGTAAGCTCTGAACTTTTGTCCCCTCTTCGTGCAGCCAAGACTACGCCCCCTCCTTTGGTCGGGGACATTTCCGACTGGGTTGTCCGGGTTCTGCCTCACATCGTGGGGATTCGTGAGTGGCCGGGCTTTGTTAAAAAGTTTGGGCATGCTCCTTCCTTGGCCGGTGAGTTTATCAGTATATATTTTTGCTATTTTGGCCTCATGGTCGCCTATTTATTATAGTTTGCTCTTGGTGGTGGCGATAACTTTACTTTGATTTTTCTTTTCCAACCCGAGGATCTTTGAGGAGGCCGAGGGCTCCTCCTCCTGCATTTCGTAACAGGAAGTTTGCCTCCTCTTCGGCGTCTATTCCACCGACGACGGTGGCTAGGCCTGCTCGATCATCCGCTTCTGTTCCTTCCTCAACTGCGGCTAGGTCTGCTCGGTCATCGGCCCTATCTATTGTTGCCTCAACATCGATTTATTCTCCGTCTGTTGATATTTTGACAGCGGAGTTTCCAACTTCCCCCTTGCACCGTCTTGTGGACGAGGAGGAGGAGGAGTCGCCGAGCAGTTGGATTTTGGTTCCCCGTAAGAAAAGATTGGTGGATGTTGGTGATGGGGTCGCCTGAGCCATAGATTCAGTAATGGACGATTTTATCATCCGTGAGACGATGACTATAGTACTTGAGGACGACGTCGAGCTGGCGTCTGATGTTCTGATAGCGGCGGAGCCCATCGAAGGCGTACCTCTTTTTTTTTTTTTTGGTGGTAGGAGCCGAAAGGCCGACCACTTTAGCTTTTGATTATTTGTGGCAAGAGGGGCCGTCGACTTCGCATCCAGCTAACGAAGCTTCCTCACTTGCCAATGGGAGAGGCAAAGGCATTGCCGAGGATGGCTACGAGACTGGTTCTGACCTCAATGCTGACGAGATGAGGATGATAGAGGAGGGATTTACCCAGTTGGAGGTAAGACTGAAGGGGTCCACGCAAACCATTGCGATCCCCATGGATCGGGATTTATGAAAAGATACAGAAGAATGCGGTTCCTGCCCTCGGTCCCCTTTGCTTCGATGTGGAGGGTCAAACTCTCTGAGCGTTGAATGATGCTACCTTGTCGAGGAGCACAACGGCCTTGCTCTCAGGGTACGTTTTTCGACGCTTCTTGTTTCTGTTCGTTATGTTCAAAATTTAGGCTTCATTCTTACTCTGTCTATTTTTTTCTTTCTTTTTTAGACCGTGATCTTGGAAATCAAAGCGCCCGAAGAGAGGAAAGGCATAAGGCTATTTTTATGAAGTTGCGGTGAAAATACCGCGAGTACCGTGGTAAGCACCGGGAAATTTGTAGGTGGTTTGGTGAGAGCGGCAATTTGCAGGCCCTTCTAGATGAACTGAAGGAGAAGAATGACGAGCTGGTGAGGGTCATCGAGAAGTGTAGCGTCCTTAAGGGGACGCTAAGAAATAAAAAGGAAGATCTCGAGGTTAGCAGGGCCGTGGAGGCTCAATATGGCGATCTCCAAGCACAGGTGGTCGAACTGCGCATGCAGTTAGAGGAGTACTGCCTGCAGATGGAGGTTCTTCACAGCAAGATTATTGAGAAGCAAAATGAGTTGGAGAGGACGGAGTAAGCTCATTCGGCAGCTTCGAGGAAAGCGGATGCCCTCGAGGTGGTGATCCGAACTCTCCGTTCTGAGCGAGAGAATGATTTGGAGACGGCGAGACTTAAAGAGGAGTGGCTCGATGAGAGGATTGAGGAGTTGGAGAAATACAACTCCCTCCTCCAGGACCAGGTGGCCACCTTAGAAGTTGAGAAGGCTCAAATGCTTGCGCAACCGTCATCCTCTCACACTTCAGATTTCCCAAACGTTCCCCGGGGCCTGTACGGGGAATGGATTCACACTGAGGCTCAGTTGGATGTGTTACGAGATTTGCATGCGGCGGGATCTGTTCCTGGGGCCGCCCTTGAAGATGCTCGTGTCAAGGCCCGTGAAGCTCGAATCGCTTGCGGGTGTAATTCTGCTACGTCGGAGACCGATGACGATGAGAGGGACGTGTGTGTGGACGAGATTGAAGAGGATGCCTGGTACGAGGAGGCATACCCTGAGGGTGGTGGTGATGGCCCAGATGGTCAAGCCGATGGCACTGATGGGCCTGACTGCGACCAATAGTTTTTCGTTCTTGTTTTTGCTGTGAACTTGTGTATATTTTGTAGGCGTCTTTACGAGACTTTGTAAAAATATTCCAAGTATGAAATGTTAACTTTGTTATTTGTACCTTATTCTCTTCTTGTGGTTCGTACTTGTATGTTTTTTGATTTTGTCGCTTGGTTGCCTTGATTTTTCTTAGCCATAATCACTTAGTTCGAATAAGATCAAACATCTCCTGTGTTTAACTATGGCTGAGGGTCGGTAGATGTTGGTTCAGACGAGGTCGAACGTGACCTATGTTTGATTATGGTCGAGGGTCAGTAGGTGTTAGTTCAAACGAGGTCGAACATGACCTATATTTGACTATGGCCGAGGGCCATTAGGTGTTAGTTCGAACAAGATCAAACACAACCTATGATTGACGATGGCCGAGGGCCATTAGGTGTTAGTTCGAACAAGGTCAAACATGACCTATGTTTGACTATCGCCGAGGGCCATTAGGTGTTAGTTCGAACAAGGTCGAACATAACCTTTTGGAAAGATATGCTTCTAGGTGCGGAGTTTTCGACATCGTAAACTTTAAGCATTGTTTCCTTGGTTGTACATTTGAAGAAAATAGAAATAAACTCCATGCATTATTGTTTTGTTCATACACTTGGAGAGATTTACAAATTTTTAGGTGTCGATTGGCATTCCAGTCCTAGTCTATCTAGTCCATTCATTGGTCATCCTGGAGAGGGCTTGAGAGGTCGGGCAATGAACTAGCCATCCTGGGCCTCCATTTTTGCGTACTTAGACTTGAAGTGTCCCCCTTCGTTGCCTCATTAAAAACCTTCTCGAGAAAACCCAATTGGGACAAAACTCAAGTGAGGGAAAAAAGAGTATGACTTGGGGGACGCTTTACCTCCTAAAAGTTGAAGTACTTGAGGTGGGTAATATTCCAGTTGTTTGGTAGTAGCTTTCCTTCCATTGTTTCTAGTTGGAATGATCCTTTGTTCACTGTTGCCGTGATTTTGTACGGGCCGTCTCGATTTGTTCCAATTTTCTTTCCTTTGGGTCTTTTCTTGCTTGTTTTTTTGGCTTTAAGCACGTAGTGCCCGACTTTAAGCGGCATAACCTTTGCCTTCATGTTATAGTAGCATTATGCTTGTTGTTTTTGGGCGATTATCCTTACATAGGCCATATCTCGTCGTTCTTCGACTTCGTTGAGCTCCTGCTTTTTACTTTCATCGTTCCTTGGTCCGCTCTCGTAGGACTATCTTAGGCTGGGCTCCCCGATTTTGACCGGTATTATTGCATCAGTCCCATAGACTAAAGAGTAAGATGTCTCTCCTATGCTTGTCTTCAACATTGCTCGGTAGGCCTAGAGTACTTCTGGTAATATTTCCGGCCATATCCCTTTGGTGTCTTCAAGTTTTTTCTTCATGATGTTCAGTATTGACTTATTGGAGGAATCTACTTGTCCATTGCCGGTGAGGTGGTATGGCGTCGAGAATATTCTTTTGATATGCCATTTCTCAAAAAATTTGGTGACCTTCTTTCCTGTAAATTGGGGTTCGTTGTCGCAGCTGATCTCTTTGGGGAGGCCAAACCGGCATACGATATTTTTCCATATGAAGGCGATCACTTTTTGTTCACGTATTTGGGCGAATGCTCCTGCTTCCACCCACTTAGAGAAATAGTCAGTTAAAACTAAAAGAAATCGTATGTTACCTCGCCCAGCCAGGAGGGGACCCACGATGTCCATTTCCCATTTGATGAGTGGCCAAGGGGAAGCAACTGAGTGTAGGTGTTCGCGTGCTTGGTGAATCATTGGGGCTTACTTTTGGCATTGTTCGCATTTTTTCACGAAGTTCGCGGCCTCTTTTTTCATGGTGGGCCAGTAATACCCTGCCTGTATAAGGCATCTGACCAAAGCCCGAATGCTAGAATGAGCTCCACAAT